GTGCTAAATTATTTTCTTTGATGAAAAGAAATTTCAAAAGAACAGCATTTATTTGAAACATAAAGCCTTTGTAAGATTATAAATGTCTTTACTGTCACTCTTGATCAATTTAATACATCCTCCTTGTTGAATAAAAGTATTTGGGGAAAAAAAAAATTAACAGTGGTGTGTGTATAATATACAGAATATGTATCACATTTTCTAATAAAATAGACAACCCAGATGTTTATCATTACAACCGAGCAGATACTGATCCATATTCTTCTGCTTATAATCATAAACCTTTTATTTAAGAAGTAAACAAGTTAACAACACACTAGAGCTCAGATAACATCTGACAGCTCATGACTTCATCTTAACGAATTCTTATCCGTATTTCTTTCAATACCATTCTGTTGCTTTAGAAAAAAATAAATGAATGGAAACCATTTTAACTATAATTATTATTGTAAAATATATACGGGATGTCCGCATTTATGATGCACATGATGGCTAGAATAAAGTTAGCAGTTTACTGTACAATAAATTAGTGTAGCAGCTATGGTAACTGAGTGGAAACTAAATTATATTACAGTTAGTATGTAAACAACACGGCCTGCTGCAGGCTAAGGCCATTTAACCCGTATACTCTTTTCAGCTCATTTCATTGACTAGAAAAATCATTAAATATCAGTCATCACATGACATTTAAATGCATGTCCCGTGTTTTATTTGCATATTTATTTGATTGTGAATTAGCTCGACTTTAGCCTTAGCTTAGCTTAGCTTGGCCTCCAGGTGCGTCCATCGCGTCAAGACGTTTCCTGCCGACGGTGCGTGAAGAAAACGTTCCGTCGGTTGAACCCGACATAACGTGTTTATGTGATGAAATAATACAACGTTTGTGCCTACTTTTTTCCCGCAACGTCCGATGTTTTCGCAAGCCGGACTCCCGTCATACATGATCTCGCGCGTCGATCGCCTTGATTTGCTCCCCCGTTCATACCGGAAATTACGTCACTGTACATCTCGGCGTGAAAATGTTTATTATTGATTTTAAAAACAGCTAGCTTTATTAAATAATCATACGCAAAGAAGCGAAAGCAAAGAGTGCTCGTGATTATTCTACTAGAGTTTTATTATATTATACTCCGTTAAAATGTATCGTATAGATCTTTAAGATATCCTTTTTTATTATTATATTTTTTATATATTATATAAGATTATATTGAATCCCCAGTTTTCTGACCTTGTGAACATGGTCATTTGGTTGGGTAAATATCACATTCACACGCACACATAAATAAATAAATAAATAAATAAAACCCTCATTTATTTCTTCATGATTTTGTGAGAATGTTTTGAAAGTTTCAAATACTTCAGAAACAAAGTAGACAGATCATTCGCAGATCACTTGCTTTAAAAATGAAAAGTAGCCTATATTATCATCTTCTCGCCATCATGTCACAGAAACGGACTTTTATATACAAAATGCGGCTGTCAAGTTCAGTTGCAGTTTTGCTTCGTGCATATTTCATGCATATTTCATTCAGGAAATACAAATTTTGTTATTTTATGATACTGATTAACAACTCAATCCCGGGAGTGTTAATACCAGTAATGCCAAATGCTGCCACGTGATGGTGCTATAGGATGTATTATATTACATGGATTATGTGGTTTATATTATCTTGATTTATAAGATTTTCTATTCATTATTAGTGTTATATGCGCATTAACTGCACAGGAAACACAGCGTATTGTCTATGTATTACAGTTTGGCTGGTAAATATATATAACATACTGAGAGAGCAAGGCATTTTTGTTTAATACTGTGTCACAAGTGCTTTTTCATCATTTGGGCTTGACTATGAAGAACGACTCTCTCACAACACCAAATTTTCTTCAGATAATAGGTTTTAAATGATGTGCGTTAAAGGGGGTGATCAGATAAAATGCACCAGGTAGGCTTAGGGTTGGAGTGTGAATACAAATAACTACTTTAATGAAATAGTAAACGCAAACCTGGATAAGTATGCCATTTATATTTTATGAAGATGGTATCCAACATTTATGTGCAGCCTCTGGCCAAATGTGCTTAACAAATGATCAGTCAAGGAGTCATTCAAATTATGACACAATAAGTTTTTATGTACATAGTACTAGCAAATGTATGACTGTAGTTGTTTCACCTTGAATGAAAGTCAAGGAGCTGAGACAGTTAATATAATTCAGTTTATTTATTTGAAAACAAACAAAAACACCGTCAAACTAAAAATGTTCAGTAAAAATGCATATTCACTGTGACTTCCTGTTGACATTCCGTGCATTTTTTTTTTCTTTCTTGCAGGTGGGCATGTTGAAATGATTTACTATATGATAACAGCATCTTCAGGAGTGTAATTATCACTAAATATGCAGAAGAAGAGAAGGCCAATCAATGCGACAATTGCAAAATATTTGATTAAAGGTTAAAGGAATAGTTCACCCAAAAATGAACATTTGCTGAAAATGTATTCACCCTCAGGCCATCCAAGATGTAGATGGGTTTATTTTTTCCATCAGAACAGATTTGGAGAAATGTAGCATTGCTCATCAATGGATCCTCTGCAGTGAATGGGTGCCGTCAGAATGAGAGTCCAAACAGCTGATAAAAACATCACAATAATCCACAAGTAATCCACACGACTCCAGTCAATCAATGAACGTCGTGTGAAGTGAAAAGCTGCATGTTTATAAGAAAAAACTCCATCATTAAGACGCTTTTAACTTTAAACTGTTGCTTCTGGCCAAAATATGAGTTTATAATCCATAATAATGCTTCCTCCAGTGAAAAAGTCCATCCTCTGTTCTCCTCTCACATCAAAATCTTTTTTTTTTTGCTTGTAACCGTTGCTTGATCTGTGCATATTTCTCTCCTGATTCAGACAAGATGACTTTTTTTTTTTTTGAGTATTTTAGCCGGAAGCAACAGTTTCTTACAAACATGCAGCTTTTCACTTCCTTAATTGATGGACTGGGGGGGTGG